ATTTTTAAAAACAATATAAAAGAAACTTAAGTATTTTTATAAATAAAAAATATTAATAATAATAATAATTAAAAAAAAGACATGTACTCTGTTCTCCCCTCTTCCAACGCCTCCCCCCTCCCCTTAAATATTAAAAATTAAGTTTGTAAGAGTTTTTTTTTATCAAGGGATTGGAGAAGACCCAGGTGGCTGTGACAGTTTGTTAACAACAAGAAGTAATTAAGGAGAGAATTATCTAAGTTTGGAGGATCCATATTTGGCTTAAGATTGGGGTTTTGAAAGAAAAATCCAATTTTTAAGGAGGACAAATGATTAGTTGTAGTGCAAGGAACGGTGTTGTGAGGCGCTGGGAGAGGGAGAGAGAGAAAGAGAATGGAGGAAGAGGAGGGAGAGAGGCGGGGTTCTGCCGACGGGGTAGGGGGGAGGTGCTAGAAGAGGGAGAACAAAGTACAGGTCTTTTTGTTTTTAGTTTTAATATTTTGATTTATAAAAAGACTTAAGTTTCTTTTAAATTGTTTTTAAAATATTTTTTAAAAATATTATATTATATTTAAGAGTAATGCTATTTAGACACACAATATTGACCACCTTAGCTGATCACCTTATGTGTCAACTGATGTGTCATGCCATGTCAATTAATGAATGTTGCCATGAGTTCACTTACTAGGAATGCTAGGGTTTTTTAATTGACATGACGACATTCATTAATTGACTTGGCATGACACATCAATTGCCACATAAGGTGGTCAGCTAAAGTAGTCAATGTTGTGTGTCTAAATAGCATTACTCTATATTTAAAACTATTTGGTTTTATATCATTAGATGTGTGAGCTCATCACATTTGCCACATTAGCAATTTAACAGAATATTTGACGGAAGCTAAAGTTGACAAGAATGATTTTGATGTGTGGAGAGTAACTTTAAGGACTATTAGTGTCATAAAAATACATTAAAAGAGAAAACATTTGGGAAGAAATGTGATAATTTCATAAACCTAAGTCACCATTTGCGATAAAAAGTCTTTAGAAAATGATACATAATAATTATTTTGAAGCACTAATTAATATTTGAGACCTTTCGAACAACGGGCCCTTTTCGTTGAGGCATTGAGGCATGAGCCGGAATACGAAAGGAACTTACTGAGAGTATAAAGTCGAAAACTTGTGAGCTCTGGTGAACCCCAAATACGGAATACCAAGAGAGTGATGCTAGCAGAAGGAGATGGCGCAAGGAGGTGGAGCAAAGCAGGTGAAATTGGAACGAGAGAGCGAACTTAGAATCGAAGTGGGCAACGACGCGCCTCTCAAGCTTCGGCTGCTCAATGGCACAGCCGAGATCTTTGGCACCGAGCTCCCCCCTGAAATCTGGCTCACCTTCCCACCCAGGCTCAAGTTTGCTGTAACATTCTTCCTTCTTCTTCATCTTTCTTTTTGTTTTCATTTGAAATTTACGTTAAGAAAGTTCATGTCTTTAATTGCATTCTGTTATGGGTTTTGATTGTTAAAGGTTTTTACTTGGTATGGAGCAACAATTGAGATGGACGGCAGTACGGAAACTGATTACACCGCTGATGAGGTAATTTCATAGGCTTTTGCTTTTTGGTTTTTGCTCCCCAATATATCTGTCACAAATAAAGAATGTGAATGAGAGAATGATGGTGTTTCCAATCTTTAATTTTTCAGACCCCAAACATCAGTTATGTAAATGTGCATGCCGTACTGGAAGAACGGAGAAACCGTGCTAAAGCCTCGCCGCCTGATGACTCCAATTCTTCTCAGCCTCAGGTACCTACATGTTCCTCATTTGTATTTTGGGGCAAATAAATGTTAAACTTTCAATCTGTGCCCCAACCAGTGTCATTCTTTAGTGAACTTGAGTATTGGTATTTGAAAGTTCAGTGTTTGACACCTCAAGTTTTCTATGAACAATCAGAATGAACTCATGGCATAAGTGTATAGACTATATAGAAATGCAAGACAATTTAATTAAAAAAAATGTCTTTCGGTGTATGTTTGGAAGGATTGTTGTAACCCTTGGTATGTGCATATGTGTTTGTGGCTTATAAGCTTCTTTGAGATCAGGGCCCGAGGGTGATTGTTGTGGGACCTACAGATTCTGGGAAAAGTACCTTGTCCAAAATGCTTCTTAGTTGGGCAGCTAAGCAAGGATGGAAGCCTACTTTTGTCGACTTGGATATTGGACAAGGAGCTATAACAATTCCCGGATGCATTGCCGCTACTCCTATTGAAATGCCTATTGATCCGGTTGAAGGAATTCCTCTTGAAATTCCCCTTGTTTATTTCTATGGGCACACAACTCCTAGGTAATCTTTTTGTACGGTTATTTCTTTTCCTATGTTTTCATATCTTGTATTGATACCTAGAATACATAAGAAAAAATCTTCCATTGCCAATTTCTTTCACTCTAACTAAATAGTGAATCTATTCGTCAATGTTTTTACTTATTAATCCTTAGACATCCGTTGTTTTTCCAGTAACAATGTAGATTTATACAAAGTACTTGTGAAGGAGCTTGCTCAAGTGATAGAGAGACAATTTTCTGCTAATGCTGAATCTCGAGCTGCTGGAATGGTGATCAACACTATGGGATGGATAGAAGGTCAAGGCTATGAGGTAATTTATAGGCTGCTTGCACTACAGGATGACTGTTGATTTAATCTAGAAATGCTTGTATAAATCTCCTGTATATGAAATCTGTGTTTGATAGTCTCTTCTTTTCTATCTTCCTTGCAGTTGCTTCTTCATGCAATTGATACATTCAATGCCAATGTTGTCTTAGTTTTGGGACAGGTAGATCCCTCATGTTCGAGTTTCTTTTATATTCCTGATTACATCTTAGTGAATTCTGCAAGCTTTTCTGCTTTTTTCCCCCTCCCTCTTTGTTTTTGTTGGTTGACTCTGTCACAAAGTTGCCATATCCAGGTTTACTTTTAATACATCCTTGTTCCTAAAACATTTATAGCTTTAACAAAATGGTTTTATATGTTGGCTTCCATGACAGTACATATGTTTCTTTTAAATTCTATGCAGGAAAAGCTTTGCAGCATGCTCAGAGATGTACTAAAGAACAAGCCCGGTGTGGACGTTGTTAAACTTCAAAGATCAGGGGGTGTTGTATCCAGGAATGCGAAATTCCGTCAAAAATCCAGGAGTCATAGGATAAGGGTAAATATCATCTTTTATGTAACCAAGTTACAGAAAGATAGGATAAGGGTGAATAGCATCTTTTATGCAACCAAGTTTCAGAAATATGTTGCCATTGTGTTATTTTCTCTTCCTCATGAGAAGGCTCATGTGTGCTGATATTTCTAACAGGAATATTTTTATGGCCTTGCAAATGATCTGAGCCCGCATTCTAATATCGCAAATTTCAGTGATTTATCTGTCTTTCGAATTGGTGGCGGGCCACAGGCCCCACGTTCAGCTTTGCCAATTGGTGCAGAGCCTGCCGCAGATCCTACAAGATTGGTGCCTGTGAATATTAACAGGGATTTGCTCCAGACGGTTCTCGCTGTTTCATTCGCCAAGGATCCTGATCAAATTATTTCTAGGTAATTCATAGAGATCCATCTGATGGAAAATTGATAATGATTGAGTAAAGTATAACATTGATCAGTTTTGTTCAGTATTATTTGAACTTCACATAGGATAGCAGACGTTTTTACCCACCTCACTGTTACAAGTATGGCAAATTATTTGCTAAAAAAAGAAAAAAGATTATGGTACTTCCTTCTTGCAGGTGAGGCAAGGAATTCAATGTTCGTTCTTCAGTTGAGGGATGTGAATTTGACCATGACATGTTATATTACAGAGTATAATCCATAGAGTCTTTAAGTAATTAGCAGTGACCATTTTTTTTATATTTTTTATGCAGTAATGTTGCTGGGTTTATTTATATCACAGACATTGATCTTCAGAGGTTTGAATTCTGAGCTACAATAACAACTTTGCAAGAAGCACCTTTTGTATTCTAGTTTTGTGTGAGCTAACCAAGTATATGACATTACAGGAAGACAATTACATATCTTGCACCATCTGCGGGCGATCTTCCAAGCAAATATTTGATTGCAGGAAACTTGCCATGGCTTGAAACATGAAGTTGATGATTGAAACCCCCAACTAGTTTGTTCAGGTTGACAATGACTTGTATTGTATGGCTTTACTGGTGAAATGTAGATTACTGCTTTATGTAAGGAGAGTCTAAGACGTGAACTACCTAGCAAGGGAAAGTTAGTTAATGATGTACTCATCTTTCGTACCGTTCGCACAAAGTAATGGAATTTGTGAAAATTCAATGCAAACTGCGTGCTTCTTGCCAATATTAATCAGAATTGTTCATAAATATGTAGGACACTGAATACCGAAAAGTCTCAAATTGCAATATTCCTTGGACAAAAACTGAAAATGCTCTTGAACAATTACAAGAATTAGTGCTGTATGTGGTATGGTATAAAGGATGCATGTGCAAATTTGGGGGAATTGACGTGAAAAATGAAGGAGTGGAGAACTTGAGATATTATATGCAAGGAGATGACTAGTAGTTGAAGATTGAAGATGAGATCAATGTAGAAAACTAAATAAAAGATGCTAATAAGATAGTAATATAGGATAGTAGTTGATGATTTCATTAATTCTACATTTATTTATTTATTATTGAAGTTGTTTAAAGATGATTGGATAGACATTTGATTTGATATCCATTCAGGGACAAAATTAATTTCTTAATAATCATCTGTTAAGATAATATTAAATTAGACAACTTGGTATGTAATGTAAACTACAATTCAACAATATTTTAAAAAAAAACTTGAAATAAACAAATAAATTATGAACCTGTATGACTCTAATTGCATTATTGCATAAAATGTGCAGTGCTCGTCCGATTTGCCAAGATGTTCATCAAATCGTTCATGATTCCCATACAACAACAAAAAAAAGGAGATTGAAAAAGTAGAAAGCTGATAATAAGTGAGCGAAATTCTCAAGTACCATAGTTTTGATTTGATGTTCGGAATATGCCAAAGTTACTGTTCTGGAGCAGTGTGAAAGGCTTTCTCCTTTCTCTCTCATGCCCGACCTGCCCGCCTGCTCTGTTTCAAACCGCCCGACCTGCCCCATTAGCGAAAAACTTTCCCTCTTTCTTAAGCAGCCTCTCTTTCTACGCCTTCTGTCCCCCCTGGCTCTCTCTCTGTCACTCTCTTGACCTTTTTGACCAACTGGGTGTGCTTCAATTTCAGTTATTGAACAAAGGACTGTTCGATCCTTGTTCACAAGTCGCATTTTTGTGAACCTTCAGAGTTTTTCAAGTGTTTTTGGTGGGTTTTGGTTTGAAGACAGGTGAGTTGGAATGGGTTCTCTGTGTTATGCGAAAATTTCTGGTCTTTGAGCCATGAGAATCTGAATCTAAAAGAGCTTGAGAAGAAGATGGGTTTGGTCCTTAATGATAGCAAGGTGAAGACTTGGGATGGGAGCAAATCAAAGGGAAAGAAGAAGAAAGATGAGGCAGTGGAAGAAACTGGATGTTGGGTTAAGTTCAGTTTTGGGACCTGCATGCCTTCAAGATCCAAAGTTGATAGCGCCATGACTGGAACTACTATTTCTTTTGGTAATTCGTTAGTATCCTTTTTCTTTTTTGGAAAGTTTTTGTCAAGCAACATTAATTTCGAGATGGGGATTGGTTTTTTTTTTTTTTTTGGGGTGATAAATCAGCTGAAATAAGTAAGAGGCTCTTCAATTTGTTAAGGGAAGGTTTTATGTTATCAAAGCTAAATCCTTTTCAAATTGTTTCATTCTAAAACTGTATGATTTTATATAGGTGATGAATTTCGTGTAAATTATCAGAAGCGAACTGTTTCATGGGCATTTAGTTAGTATTGGAACGAAAAAGTCTTCACGAGACAGATAACTGATTTAGGCAGGCCAGATGTATATTTATTTGGTCAACCAACTATTTTATGCAATGATCATTTACTGTTTTTGCATGTGGACTTTATTAGAACATATGGTTGATTGAATAGCAATTTAGTTATACACTCGCATCGCTAGTGTCTGTGGCATTCATTAGGAAATTCCCAACTAACAGGGGAAGACAAATACCAACATCGTTCATTCAAGTGCATACTGCTTGTATGCATCATTCACTGATTCACTTATGTGTGTGTGTGTGTGTGTGTTTTTTTTTCCCCCCAAGATTCACTTATGTGTGTTGGATTGGACCTTGTGTAAATCAGCGGAAACTAAATCTTCGAATGAGAAAAGTAGAGATCGTGAACTTACTCGTGGAGGATCCTCTACGACTACTAGTAATGGTGGAAGTACTTCATCCACACCCTATTTCAGTGAGGAACTGAAGGTTGCTTCTCAGCTCCGAAAATTCACATTTAATGAACTTAAGCAAGCCACTAGAAACTTCAGACCTGAGAGTCTTCTTGGTGAGGGTGGATTTGGTTGTGTGTTCAAAGGTTGGGTCGAGGAAAATGGAACTGCTCCTGTGAAACCCGGTACTGGGCTTACGGTTGCAGTTAAGACTCTCAACCATGATGGACTTCAGGGTCACAAAGAATGGCTTGTATGACTTCTGCATTCCTTCTTTATACCATATTCTACTTCCAACTTTATGTTTGAGTTAGTTCTTAATGAAACTCGTAGATTACATACTAGTCTCCTTTGCTGTTCAATTTGTAACATAATCGTTCATTTCTTTGTATTTTAGGCTGAAATTTATTTTCTTGGTGATCTCATCCATCCTAATTTGGTAAAGTTAATTGGTTACTCCATCGAAGATGACCAGAGGTTGTTGGTTTATGAGTTTCTGCCAAGGGGAAGTTTGGAAAACCACCTCTTCAGAAGTAAGCAACTGGTCCTTTCACATTCTTTAATTTGACTGCATGTATATTGAAATTTGAAACTACCTCTTGCAAGCACGTACTAACACAGTGAAATGCATGTGGTACAGTTAGCTGTTGAATTTGCTTTGTCATGTATTGTTAGTGTTTCTTAATATTGTTTTTGGTAACTACCAGGATCCTTGCCTCTTCCATGGTCTATTAGAATGAAAATTGCACTTGGTGCTGCAAAGGGTCTGGCCTTTCTTCATGAAGAAGTTCAAAGACCAGTCATATACCGTGACTTTAAAACATCTAATATTCTATTAGATGCGGTAAGTGACTATAACTGAGCAACTACTTCCTTTTCTTTCTCCATTCCTATTCCATTCTGAAAATGGAAAATGTTAATTTAGGATTACAATACCAAGCTTTCGGATTTTGGACTTGCCAAAGATGGTCCTGAGGGTGATAAAACTCATGTGTCCACACGAGTTATGGGAACCTATGGTTATGCAGCCCCAGAGTATGTGATGACTGGTGAGTTTGGCATTCAATACTTTTGGTAACTCTACTTTTACCACAACTATGTGAACTACCAGCTAGTGGTGGTGATAGACAAAATATGTTTGTTTGAGCTCTTTTTTCTTTCAACTGTCAAACAACTTGGACAAGTGAGTGCCAAACTGTGACTCCTCCCTCTTTGAACCCATTTAAAATGAACATGGAAGGCTTAGTTTTATAATTCTATTTCTTTTGGTGGAGAAAGTCTTATAAATTGCAACTCCATCAGGTATGCAAAAAGATAGGTTAAGATGTCAGAACTTGGTGTTTTATCCGGCTTTTGCTTCTGATGAATGATCGCATACTTAGGCCATCTGCTTTTCTAATTTTATTATGTTCTTGTAGTTATTATATACTTAGTGATGACCATTGGCCAAAAGGAACATATGCTTAATCACGAGCTGGAATTACTTAATTCTAACATGGGTTTTTGGTTTAGGACATCTGACATCAAAGAGTGATGTCTATAGTTTTGGAGTTGTCCTACTCGAAATGCTAAATGGTAGAAGATCCATGGATAAAAATAGACCCAACGGGGAGCACAATCTTGTGGAATGGGCGAGACAACTTTTTGGAGACAAGAGGAGGTTATTCCAGTTAATTGACCCCCGGCTTGAAGGTCATTTTTCGATCAAAGGTTCGCAAAAAGCTATCCAGCTGGCCGCCCACTGCCTCAGCCGTGACCCAAAAGCTAGACCAATGATGAGTGAAGTTGTTGAAGCCCTAAAGCCTCTACCAAACCTCAAGGATATGGCCAGTTCTTCCTATCACTTCCAAACCATGCAAGCAGCTCGTTCCAGGTCCACCTCAAATGCTAAGAATGGCATTAGAACGCAGGCAGTATTTGTACCAAGGAACGGACACCCCGTAAGGAGCTTGTCAAGTCCAAATGGTCCTCCTGCTTCTCCATATTATCCTCACAAATCACCTAAACCTAACTCCAAAGAATGATGACGTCGATTTATCTGTATGCTTATTATCTTAGATGTAACTCTCATATTGTACCATCTTCAGATTGTTCTTTCAATTATAGCACGAAAGAATCATTTCATTCTCCTTGAAGAGTTTTATTGCTGTCTCTGCCCTCATCTCATTTCATGTTCCTGTAAAATGATAGAGCAGACTTTCTTTTGCATGTATGCTCAGGCTTGGTAATTTATCAACCTCCAAAGTTTGTAAAAACCTTAAACTTGGGGTAGATAATATTTGCCATTGTCCCTAGTTGTATGTGTTATTGGGTGAGGGGTGTAAATTTAATGAAGCCCCATTTACCTACTGATGCTAATCGACAGAGTTTTCCATATATTGCAACTTCTTATGTCGTTTTAATCAACTTGTGGCACAATGTAATGTGGACAAAGACACATGGTGCATGCTGACCTTCCTTCTAATTTGAGCAAGACAGGAGGTTTTCTCACACACACTAATTTCAGCTAAGAGAGGTGTCATAGGAATTCGAACATGAGATCACTGATCTGCAAGTTATTCTATCCAATTACAGGAGTTATTCTACCCACCAACCCCCATTACTTGCCCCTATTTCTGGAACATTCTTTTACATCACTATCATTAATTAATTAATTATTAGTTCTTTCTACCCTTTGATATATTATATAGTTAGAAACAAACAAACACCATCAAAATTATAAATTAAAAAAAATTAAAACGAAATGAAATGTTTATTGCATTTATTTCGACCTTATTTCGTCCGAAAAATTGAAAACATGTGTTTGGCATTAACCATAAAAGCTCAAAATTGAATTATCCTCTATGGTCTGCTCTATCAGATTGAGTTGAAGCCTTTTCTTTTATCTCAATCGTCATTAAAACATTATCAAAATGAAACTCCTCCTCGTTTATTTGCACTTCACAAAGTTAAAAAAATAATAATAATAAAAATTGAAAAAACAAAAAAAACTTTGATGACATGGAAAATTGCAAGTAAAGGAAACTAATAAATTAATGAAAATGGACATAGTATACTTCCTATTATTATTATTATAAATATTAACATGAAAAGGAAATGAAACAGAATAGGGGTAATATTGACTTTCTACTCACATCCGTAGAGTACTAGAGAGAGTTATACCGGTGGCCTCCAGCCAGAAAAGGGCAATACTGTAAATAGACTACCATGGAATGTGTCAGCGTAGAAGGGCAAGTTGGTCATATACCCACTGAGCTCTGCTGCTGCTGCTGGTTTTATATATCTCAGCAATTTTGGCTTGGATTACAAGAAATAAATCAAAACAATTTAAAAGAAATTCAAAGGTGAGGGATGACCGTACAACTTGAACTCTGTTTCTCTCGTCTGGTTGCTCATAAATTTTTTGAAATGGAAAACGAAAAAGAAGTCTCTTCGAGTCCGTTCGTACTTCACACTCTGACTCTCTGAAAACTGAAATCAATAAGGCCATTCCCTTTAGTGCTAATTGATATTGTTTGCTTTTTTAGTTTTCTCAGAGGAAACAAAAGAGGGGAAAGAAAAAAGAAAGCCAATACCAGAATTGGTCTGAAATAAGTGCATTTAGTTGACGTGAGATTTCTGTTTGGTTGCTGAGAAAACAAAGGAAAATAAAAGAATTATGTAATATTGAGTTATATTTTCTGTGTTTTTTTTGTTTATTCTTTGGTTATTCATTTTCGTTAGATCTGTGCTTAAATGATTTATATTTTCTTGTGATCTCATTCTGAATTTATGTTTTTGTATAAAAGAAGGATCTTTATGCTATGTATGGTGATTTTCTTGCTATAATGCAAAGAAATTTGTCTCCCACTCTCGTTCTCATACACTGTTTTATTATACATATTACTAGTTGCAGAACTGAAAAATGGGCCAAGCACTTGGTTGCATTCAAGTGAACCAGTCAAAAGTTGCTGTGAGGGAACAATTTGGGAAGTTTGATAATGTGCTTGAACCAGGATGTCACTGCTTGCCCTGGTGTTTCGGGTACAAGATAGCCGGTGAGCTATCACTGCGTGTGCGCCAACTTGAAGTTCGATGTGAAACCAAGACCAAGGTTTTTTCGGATTCTTTAGCCCTTTCTTTACTTTCCCTGAAGGATATATGCCTTGTGTTTATGTCAGGCTGTGAAATGTGTTATTGTCTTGAACAAATTTCGGTTTTTAACAATGGGGTTTTCAGGACAATGTGTTTGTCAATGTGGTTGCATCTATTCAGTATCGTGCCTTACCGGAAAAGATAGCTGATGCTTTCTATAAGCTCTCTAATGCCAACTCACAGATTCAGGCCTATGTGTTTGATGGTAAGTGTTGGAAGATAATGTGATTGGTAGGCATTGTTGCTTTGTACTAGTTGATTAGCAGCTAACATTTTTCTGTTCTTCAGTTATCAGGGCAAGCGTACCCAAACTGGAGTTGGATGCTGTCTTTGAGCAGAAGAGCGACATAGCAAAAGCTGTTGAAGAGGAGCTTGCAAAGGTTTTTTTTTTCAATACCAGATTGACACAATAATTTAACTAAATAAAAGGGTTATATCTTTGCATGACATAGTTTGAGAACCGACAATGTAACCATTTTCGTTGCAGGCAATGTCTACTTATGGTTATGAAATAGTCCAGACCCTTATCGTGGATATTGTGCCTGACGTTCATGTGAAGAGAGCAATGAATGAGATCAATGCAGGTAACTTAAACTTACATGTATATATGTACTTGCAGCATTTGACGAATTACTTATTTGCTTCTCTTATTAGTAATTTGTTACGAATACATACAGGAAAAAAAAAGTTCAGACACATTGTTCTGAAATTTCAATCTGTAAGTAGGTAATTGCTCAGTTTGTGTGTTTCTCTATGTGTCACAACAGCTGCAAGACACAGGTTGGCAGCAAAAGAAAAGGCTGAAGCAGAGAAGATACTGCAGATCAAGCGAGCTGAAGGAGAGGCAGAGTCCAAGTACTTGGCAGGGCTTGGCATAGCCCGCCAGCGCCAGGCTATTGTTGATGGGCTGAGGGACAGTGTTCTTGTCTTCTCTGAGAATGTTCCTGGAACATCAGCCAAGGATGTCATGGACATGGTTCTGGTGACTCAATACTTTGACACCATGAAGGAGATTGGAGCATCCTCAAAGTCCTCGTCTGTTTTCATCCCGCATGGGCCAGGTGCGGTGAGGGATGTTGCTTCCCAGATTCGGGAGGGTCTCCTTCAAGCTGATAATGCTAAGGAGTAGAAGGGACACTTGAAACTTCTAATATGCTAAAAATTTAGTGTTGAAGAGTAGGTTGTTCACTGCTACTCATATGCAAAACTTTGTCATGGTTTTCTCCTCTTGGTGATAGAACACAATTAATGGTTACATTATTTAGTAGATGTGGTTGGAGGACATACCACTCTAAAGTAAAATATATGCTGCTTTGAATTAGCCTGTTATTTAATCTGTTTTCATCTTAAATCTCATCTGTTTCCTGCGCTCGGATGAAAAGGAAGTTGCTTTGCATCAAACAGCACCGGAGTTTTTAGTTTTTTAATGTAAAAAACTAAAATATTTTCCTGCTAACGTGTAATTAGCTCTCAATTTTCTATCCACTGCTAAAGGCCAAAAAACTTACTTATAACCGGAGTAGCACTATTTTGCTATCCTCGATCAATAACACAATGACACATGAAAAATATATCCTACGTGTTATTGCGTTATTGTTGGGAATAGCTAAAAGTGCTTGCATGAGAGTCTCTCCACAGAGAGGTGTTGCACTTTGAATTGTTCACAGGCTCGATCAACCATCTCCATCGAACAATTTGTCCTCATATACTGATTTGTTCCACTAATTAAAGTAAAAAACGGCTCACCACACCAATTGCTTGCCCACCTTATCCCTGATTGGACAACTCCTACCTACCGTCCCAAAGTCATCACAGAATAAAACAGACATTCCAAATGTTCCTAATTCACAAACACGCATCAGTAGCCCAATAATACGAGCCTTTTCCAATTAAAAAACTAGGTGCAGCAGTAAAATGACATGCAAAACAAAGCTGCAAAGATCAATTATGGGAGGAAAAGAAAAAGATTAACGAAACACCCACCAAAAAGGGGAACAAAGTTAAAAGCCTACCTCTCCACTAACAGGCTTCATCATCCTCTGTTTGTTAAACAGCAATTTAGAAACGTAACAAAATACGTCTGATACCATCAAATTTTTATTTTTACAAACCAAAACCGCCGAAATGGAACGATTCCCCTAACATATGGACTTGTTTCAAGAAAATCAACATTTGGAACCAAAATAAAGTCGGCCTGGAAAGAAAACTATACTATCCCTCTACCCCTGCTCCCTGCAACAGTAGGCAATAAGCTCGATCATGGCTTGAGAGCAAGAGCCAACCCGATCTTGGCGGTCTTCTCAATGGCTTTGGTGTCTACCTCTCCTGAAATAGTGACAAATGATTTTGGACGCCACTCATGCTGGATAAGGGCACTTGCCTTGCCAAAATTGTTCACTCGTGCCTTTAAAGTCGTCAATGGATCCAGGGCATGCTGGGTGCCAAGAGTGATGGTATTCTCATTGGTAGGAAATCTATGGGTCACCTCAGCACCAACAGCTGTGTTAGTAAGGGGATTGACATTGTGATAGTAGGATGCACTGAGAATGTCACCTTTATCATTCCTGCACCATGAAAAAAAAAAATATGAATCACACAATGCACCAACAATCCAAGATGTAAGCCAAAACAGCACCAAACTGAGTACATCTGATTTAATGCATTTAAGACATAATTATAGAGATTTTTTTTCTTCATTCTGGAGTGGGCAATGGAAGATTGAGGCTCTTATGTATGACGATAACAAGGCAAATGTACGTAAAATCAATAAGCCCTCTTTGACAAGCAAAAGAATATACTTACAGGGTCAGTGCAGCGATTAGGTCTGCATTGGAGAAGCTCACTCCAGTATTGCATTTAGTCAAGTTCCCTGTCTTGGTGTCAAATGACAGATCAGTACCAAGTGCAAGTTGATTAGTTCCTATGACACCAGAAAAGTTAACAATAGGGTTTGGTGTCAACCCAACGCTGGTGCTTATCCCTGCATAGTCATGCAAATACTGGAGTTCCACCTGTTAACAATCACTCA